TTCTTCCACACAAACTTTCTCAATAGGAATAGCAATGGACACACTCTGTACTAGTATAATTACCTACTAAGCAAGCACAATAGTGCCAGGTTCAAACAGCCCACTGTTTTCACATCCAAGGTCTATCCCATTTCACCTTATTTTAAAGCCAGCGATAAACAGAGACATCTTCTCACTCCGTTCCCCTGTTCAGGCAATGGCAGCCCTCTTTATTGTGCTGACAACCTTTTTATTACCCCATTTATTGCTGTTACTTTCTGTCTTGTAGAAATAACAACTATGTCTCACTTTTCACACCAGACTTTTATTCTTACCTCAGACAGCAACTTCTACAGAATTGTTAACTAAAATCTAATTTCAAGGCCATCTGAACAAACTCATTGACTTCAAGCCATGTTCTCCCATTACACTCTTGGGGGAAAAAACTATATGTCTATAAAACTCCAAATAAGAACTGAATTTAGAAGAGTGGAGGTTGTCTATGATCAAAATGCCTTTATTAGTGGTAGAGAGGCACAGATTAAAAAAATACCTTTCTTCAAGTATTAGAAAAGAGTTTAAGACACCCTTGTAAGTCCATACCACCAGTGTGGTTGCCATGGCAACCATGTGTGTTCCTCTGCAGGCTTACATGTAAATTAGGACTGAACCTGAGTCTTGTCATGAATATGCACACAGCTGAACCTTGGTACACTGCATGTCATTCAGAGTTAGGGCAATGCTTTGTGGGAATCGCTGCCAACACATTTTGAATTTGCTTTCAGAGACATTGATTGGTTACATAATATGTTCAAAGCTGATTGGCAATACGACATCACTATTTCCCATTTAAAAGCAGAAAAATAGTGATAAAGCAGTTCTCAGTAAGGGCTGTGAGCAACAAAGAATAAGAGGAGATTTTGTTATTTTGTATACTTCTATATACCTTTCTACCACACTAGGTATCCAAGGCCTCCCACAAAGATAAAAATCCAGTCATAAACATTTCATATCATAAATACCATTTAAACGTGTCCAGACACAATATCTATCCAAAGGCCTTCTGGAATAAAATTTAGTTTTTGGCAATTTCCACACAAGGCCTGTAGAGACAGTGCAAACATCACCTTCTTTAGGAAGGAGCTCCAGAGCTTGGTGCCATCTGCTGAGAGGCCCCTGTCATGAGTCACCATGAGTCTCACTTCAGACAAGGTAGGTGTCTACAGGAAGGCCCCACCTTTTGATCTCAAACATTAGGCAGGTTGATATGGGAGAAAGCAATTCTTCAAGTAGTTTGGGGGTGTGTTCAGCCTATGGTAAGTACTTATGCTCAAATGGTTTAGCTTGCTAAGTTTACAGAGGAAGTAATAGACCTTGACAGGGCCAGATGGGCCTGCTTGTGAACGATTTAGCTGCCTCCACAGTTGCTCTCATGCCAGTCCAGATAGGCTATGCACCTAGGCTTGCCAAGAACCCCCACCCCAGAGGCCCGTTCCCCACTGCCAGCGGATCGGGCCCCAGGGGGAACCCCATCCTGATGTGCGCGTCACCCAGAAGTGACGTGACAACACCGGGCACGCTGGGGGCGGGGCCACGGTCATCCGAGGGAAAACTCTATGGTTTTCCCTCAGATGGTTGTGGTCCCGCCCCAGCATGCCCGGTGGTGTCATGTCACTTCCAGGTGACGTGGATGCGCGCTCCAGCCGCCCTCCAGCCACCAGCGGGGAGTCCTCGCTCCGATGAAATTTTGACTTGGCAACCCTATATGCACCTCAGATGTCCACACCTCAAATATGCACTTTTACTTTAAAAAATTAAAAAGAAAAAGAGACTATTTTATGAGAATGACATATTGGACCTTTCTGTGGATAGCTAACCATTAGAAATTAGGGTTGCCAGCATCCAGGTGGGGCCTGGGGATCTCCCACTTTTACAATTGATCTCCAGCTGACAGAGATCAGCTCCGCTGGAGAAAATGGCTGCTTTGAAGGGTGGACATTATACTATGCTGAGGCCTTCCTCCCCAAACCCTACCCTCTCCTGTCTCCACTCCCAAAGTCTCCAGGTATTTTCCAGCCCAGACCTGGCAACCCTATTAGAAATGAATCTTAGACTCAGTCACAATCTGCAAGCTATATTTGGAAACCAATAATATTAATAGGTTCTGTAAAAACAGTTTCTCTCTTGGTTTGAAAATTGTATCTTCCTGAACTGACATAAGAGCAAAAATCATGCAGAGAGCAATTTGGTTTTCTAAAGGCAAGTGAAAATAGCTTTCATTTGAAGATGATATAATTGCCTATCTAGGCTGGTGAATCTTAGCAGATGGTCAGAAGTGATTTTGCCCTCGTTAATCTTCCTCACTTCACAGAATGTGAAGAAGATACCAAAAGGAGTGGCTGTAAATGACATTATTCGAAAGGCACTGTAATTTATTTTCGATCCCTCAGACACTGTTTTCCAGTGCCATGACATCACTAGAAAAATAAACTGGGGATGTGCCATTGCTGTTCTTATGTCTAAAACATGCTTGATTCTGTCATTCAAATTATCTGTGCACTTAGAATTACTGCAAGAATTAATCAGTCCCAGGGGTCATTTGGGGGGGACGCGGGGGGACGCCATCCCCCCGGGTGAGGTGCGGGAGGGTGGGGCCTGGAGCTCCCTGCTGGTGCCCGCTGGAGGTCGCCGCCGGCTATGGGGAGGACACACTTCCGGTGATGTCAGGGGGTGTGGCATATGCTAATGAGTTATGCTAATGAGTCCCCCTAGCTCTTTTTCTACGAAATGACCCCTGATCAGTCCACTGCTCTCCTCCAAAGAAAACTAATCTTCTGGGCCACATCTACCCAGGCAACACTATAGCAAACTGCAATAATGTCAGCAATAGCATTCAACAGGTCATCCTCCAGACTGATATATGCTATCACCTGCCAGTAATACCCTTCTGCTATCTACACAGATAGGGTTGCCAACTCCAGGCTGGGAAATATCGGGGGGGGGTGTGAAATTTTGGGAGGGCAGGGTTTAGAGAGTGGAAGGACCTCAGCAGGATATAATGCCAGAGAGCCCAATCCTCCAAAGCAGACATTTTCTCCAAGGTCTCTGGAGATCAGTTGTAATTCTGAGAGCTCTCCAGGCCCCACCTGGAGGTTGGCAGCCCTAAATATAGGTCCTTAAATAAAATAATAAATGGACGCATATCTGGCTTTTAAAATAGCAGTATTAAGAGCCAGTTCACACAATAGATATCCTTGTGGCTTCCATGAGAACCTGATAATTTCATGTAAAGAGAGTGCTATGCCTCCCAGAAATGTGAGGACTGTATTCCAGTCATGACTGCAGCATGCTTGAAGAATGGGCTTGCACTTCCCATGGTATTTTCACAAACTGAAATGGTCCCAGGCATAGCACTGAACTGGCCTTCTGAAATCAGCAGGAGAAATCAGCAGGAGAACAGCAGGAGAACATTTCAGTCTTCCAGGATACTCCGCTGCTAACCTCAGAGTCATCATACTTCAGAAAGGGCGCTCTAGTGTGAAATTGCTGAACAGGAATATATCCGGGGGGGGGTTAAATTATTTTCATTTTCAACAATTAACAAATAAGTAAGAGAGAATAAACATGAGCATGTCTTGATAAAGTAATACAGTACTTGACAAAGTAGTACAACAATTTAGCAGAATGTATAACTTCAAAATATAACGTAAATAAGAAAAAATGTAAAAACAAACCTTATAAACCTTTTACACAATCAGTTCTAGTGTCATAACTTCTAATAGTATTTCCAAGAGAAAAGTTATACCATTAAAATCCATAACTCAAATCAAATTAACCAACTTGTTTTCAAAAAATTATAATATTGATGTCTCTGAGAAGGTCTGTAGTCTTCAAGTATGTCATCCAGTTTCTCCAGCACTGGATACCATCTTTCTAAATATTCAGAGGAACCAGAAGAAGAGTCATAACTTGTTAAACAATCTGATATTTTATCCATTAATAAATGGTTCCAAATTCTAAAATACCATTGTCTAATAGGTGGAAGATCACTGCTCTTCCAACATGCTACTATCGTCGTTTTAGATCAGGAAATTTATTTGATTTGATTTGAATGTAATCAGGACGTCTGGTTTCTTTTCACTACAGATGTTAAATTAGCGTTGTTTAGCTAGAAATATGGAACAAACACAATGACTGCTTTTATTAAATGGCTCCCTCTGGTCTTAAAACAAGAATAAATTCTGTGTGATACCTTTTATTAGGACTAACCAAACAGATGCAAAGAATTGCGCAGGTTTTTGAGGTCCCCAGAGGTCTTAATCAGGCTGGATGTTTTTAAAAAGAGAGAGCAGCAGAACAGCAGGTTTGTCGGGCCATGATTTTATGGTCTGATGTTGCAGGCATTTTCAGTGAAATGCAAGCAGGCAACTGCCTTCCTTCTATTGCTGAGGCAATCAGTTGCAGCATGGTCTCTGGGACTACGGGGCTCTACTCTGTGGGATTCTGTTCTTACTTCGTACACTGTTGTACTCTGCTTAATTTCACAGATCATGGCATTGGGAGGTCTTTCATATTGTTTCCTTGTGGTGTGTGGGGGTGTGTGTGAGAGAGAGAACATGTATTTTATCAAGTGAGAAATGTATGCCGCAATAAATCTGTGGCATTTATGGTATTGTTCCTCTCCTCTCCTTAACGCCAATGTACCTTTCATTTCCCTTTAACAATGGCATCCAAGTGGTAGTTTGTCCTCAGACACCTCTACATTTTTTAGTTGGTATAGAGGATATGCCCATCTCATGTCAACTAGAAAGGTGGTGAGAAAGCTAGTATTACTGGGGTGGAGGGATCAGCACTGAAAACTGTCACTGTAAAATAGTCAGTTTTAGCTATCACAGTCTACAATACACAATTATGTTTGCATTATGTTATGACTGCATTACACTTGTGTCATTTCTTTGTACCATAAACACAAAAAGTAGGACAGTCACAGGAACAATCTAAATCCATTTCTTTTTCCTTAGGGTTTACTTGTGGCAACCATTTTCTGTTTCTTCAATGGAGAGGTAAGCATAGAAAATAATTTCATTCATTCTAATGCGCACAACTTTAACATAAATTTATGACAATTGACAATATCACTGCTCACTCCTGAATAACAGCACTGTGTACACAGATCCCAGGGTCACAAACATGATGCAAAAGTCATGCCTGTGTGCAACAGCCTCTTCTTACATTTGCAGAGGGAGCAATTTGCTTATGGTTCCTCTTGCTGGATCAGGTGCCATTCATTCATTCATTCATTCTTAAATTTCTTTCCTGAACCTACACCAAAAGGTACCTGAAGTAGTTGCTACCATCCATGACCTTTTAAAATAAGAAGTAATATTCATAGTTAAAAATAACAACATGGGCAAAATTCCAAAGAACTACTTTAGACATGTACAAGAGCCCTGTGCAGACATTTAAATACCTACATGTTGAATATATACAGCGGGAGTAAGATCATGCCCACTAGCTTCATCCCCCCAGCCTCCATACAAGCAAAGGAGAGTCCAAGGTGTTTGCAAATGTACACATGGATGGTATATATGTTCAGCTGAGAATATGGATTTCTGTAGGGTAAAAAGGTCAAGGTAAAGGTTTCCCTTGCTCGAAAGCCAGTTGAATCCGACTCTAGGGGATGGTGCTCATCTCCGTTTCCAAGCTGAAGAGCCAGCACTGTCCAAAGATGTTTCCATGGTCACGTGGCTGGCATGACTAAACGCCAAGGTGCATGGAACGCTGTTACCTTCCCACTGAAATGCTACCTATTTATCTACTTTCAATTTCTTGCTTTCGAACTGCTATGTTGGCAGGAGCCGGGGCCAGAGACAGGAACTCACTCTGTCACATGGGTCTCGAACTGTCGAACTACATACCTTCCAGTCTGCAGCTCAGCATCTTAACCTCTGAGCCACTGCGGACCATTTCTGTACGGTACTCAGCAGTATAAAAGAATCTGTGCACAAATACTAGTGTTCGCATAAGGGCTCTGCTCAGACCTTTTACTGAATATTTGGCGGTCAAAGCATTAAGTGTATTTCTCATTCCAGTTACATGAGTTTAGCCTACAGGTACGTGAAGCTCTGAATAGGACTATGATCTTGGGGACACTTGGTGAGGTTAGACTTTTTTGCCCTTGGGGCAGCAAACAAAAACCATACCATATGATTGTGCTACACCACAAATGGTTTTTTTAAAGTTTAGTTTCAAAAATAGCTTAAACCCTCCCCCCCCCCTCGTGCCATGGGCAGGTGGCTTTTTGAGAGTCACAAAGCCCAATGCTTCGTTGTGTGTGAACACTAACCCAAAACAATACTAAACAGAAGAAGAAAATATGTCTTTGTTCTGACCTGCAGATTTGCAGGCATGTGCTGTGAGACCACAACATGCAAACTCATAATCCTAAATATTTGGAAAAGCAATATGGCCTAACACACATATAATATGTCATTTTGTTCACACATCCAGTAATAAGCACTGACCGGTTTCCAAATTTAGCCATTTTGAAGAGGTCAGTGGAAAATAAATCCCTTTGGATAACTGTTCTCTCACACACCCATCATGTTATATGCCTTCTTGGCTTTTCACTCCTATTCTTCTGTAATGATATACTAAGTGTGGTGCAAGGACTTGTCAAGCACCAATTTACTACCTACTAGAAGCCCTACTTGAGAGGCACTTGAGAAAAAGCATTGTGATCCTGTAAGAGGAGTTAACTAGAACAACCTCCTGAAATAAAAGAAAGGGGCTGTTAAAGAAAAGTAAACCAGGTTTTATCTCTATGCAAAATAATACAGACATTCTGTAAAATGTAAAACTGTTATGTGCATATACATACACATTTTAACAGTTTGTCCAGAACAGTGACATTTATTGCCTCATTAGAGAAAGAGAAGATGAGGTCTAAGTCTAGCTTTCCTGGTGCCACTAGATTGGTGTGTGGGGGAGGTTTTGGACTTTCTCAGACATGAAGCTAAGGTTTTACACAAATTAGTAGTGGGGCAAATGAATAATAACACCATTAATAACTAAACATTTAGAACATTTGCAGTTTGTAGGACATGAGAAAGAGAGAGATTTTAATAGGTTGCAGTGACTTTAGATTCTCTTGATGTTTAACGATACCTGACAATTCAATCATAAAAACTGTTTCCTGGGAATAAGGCCTGTCAAATATATGAAAGTAGAATTCTGTGCAGAACTGTTTTGTATTCATGTCTCAAAGCCTCAGTCCAGAAGCTGACAAGAGTTTGCATTGATGTAAACTAGTTTTCAAATGTCAGACACAATGGGAACCCTGATTGTAGCCTGACTCTACTAAAGTTAGTTGGAGTTGGGTCTCATCTCTCCAGTACAGCTTGACTCTGCTGAAAGGTAACCAGTTTAGGATAGTCCAGGGGGGGGAATAGTGATTAGTGAATCATTGAGCTGCCAGTTGCAAGAACTTTCTGACGAAGAGTTGCCTGGCCTGAAGGGCAGATTTAACCCTCTTTTTTTTGTTCAGGGCATAAAACCTAAGAGGATGGTAAAAAACTAAACCTGAATTTGCTCATTGACATTCTAATAATGAAGTTGTTTACTGTACAAGCTTAGCAGAAAAAAAGATGCTTTAATTACAGATGCTTACCAATTAATCAGAATGCAAGTTAAGAAGTACAAATTACTGTTTGAGATGCTATTTTTTCCATTACATGTTTTTTAGAAAACCAAAGCCCTAATTTCCAGATCATAGCGATGCATTAATTCATTATTTTCCACAGATGTTTTTAAAATAAATATGCATCAGAAAAGCATTCAGGGACTTAAACTTAATAGATTTGGCTTGCGGACCTCTATGTTTCCATTGACTGCTCAAATTTGGAATTGTCAAGTCACTTATTTGCTTATTAAAAATGTAATTTTTGTGAGTGAAAAGCAGTAAACTGTAGGCTGTAGTCTACAAACAAGCCAAAATTAATTTTAGACTTCATTGATTCTAAGCCTACAGTTTAATCTTACCCCCCCCCCATGGCAAAAGTCCCCTTTTTCAATGAGGCTAAGTTTCCATTCAGTGGGGAACTCAACAGTGTTTCAATGGGATTATACACAAAATACAGACTGAGCATGCTGATTGCTCTCTAAGAGCCATAGAATTTAGCTGAAGTTACAAAAGTAAAACAGAGAAGGGGAAGATTAGCCTTATTGATAGTTTATAGTATTCTAGTGGGTATAGCCCTCCAGCCTCAAGGATCCTCTCCAAGATCCACCTGCAGTATACAGGCTAAACTGAAAAAAGCAAAAATCACCCTGTTTCTACACTGAATTGCTCATGTTTGAGGGTACAACAACAGCTTCTATTCACTTAGCCCTGACTCCCAATAACCTGTTCTATAGGGCAAGGTGAGCAGGAAATTTCCCCAAACCCCTGAGGTCACCTATGCTGCTCTTAAATAACAGGGAGAAGGGATGTGTCCTAACTGTTTATCCCCTGTAATTTCTTACAAGATGCCAATTTATGTATGTAGGAATTAATGATCCCTGTAACACTCTCACCATGCAAAATGTTTTGTAGCTGTTACCTCCTTCATGCCCACAGTCTTGTAAAGTAAGTTAGGTAAAGCTGAAATGAAGATTTGTCGAGAGCCAGATAATGAGTGTCATAGTTCAGTGCAGCTCTTCAGGGGTTTTTTGAGTTTAAAGAATAATCCAGAATACATGGGTACCTACAGACATGATAAAGAACCTAAATGATTACAGCCTCTGTGTACAGCATTCTCTCACCCAAAGAAAACTGGTGCTGAAAAGGCAACCCCAAGCCTCCCACATCTGCACAACTTTTATATCCTCTTAGATATCTGAAGGATCAAAAGGATTCAAGTATTTGCCCATTTTCAGAAAACGGATTACTTTAGGCTGACATCATAAGAACAGGGCCACGTGTGAATACGGATGTCCTCATTCATCAGGCCACTGGGACAGCCACCTTAAGTTAGAAATCAGAAGGGGAGAGGGCAGCTGCTACTTCTTCAGGGGACTGGATGTTGCCCTTGGGGTGGGGGGAGACACAACAGCCCCAAAGCTACTGGCTCAGCTCAACCAAGGTGGAATTGGCCCTGCAGCCTCCCTTAAAGCACAGAGAGGAGACTCTCGCGTGAGGGGTGCTCCGGGGGGGGGGGGGGGTTGGGAGGCCCACTGCTTCCACCACAAACGAGGGAGGGTGTAGTGAACACCTTTTAGGGTTCCCAACTCCAGCCTGTGAAATTCCTGGATATTGGGGGGCAGCAGCTCCTGTGGAGGAAGAAATCCAGGAAGGGACTTCATCCGGACTCTATGGTATACCACAGAGTTTGTCCTGTCTAGGCTACCACTTCCTCCAGGGGGCCTGACCAATCGTAACCCTGGGGGGTCTCCAGGCCCCAGCTGGAGGTTGGCAACCCATCACTACCTCTCCTCACAGAACTGGGGGGATGAGACAGAGAAAGGACGACACCCGAGCGGGGCGGGAGAGGGGCCGGCACTGGCTCACCTGCCGCCTGACAGGGGAAGGGAAAAAGGCGGGGGAAAGGGCTGATGAGAGGGGGGGAGAAACGCAGTGCTGCCCGCCGCCCAAACTGATTCTACCTTTTATAAGTTAAAAGCAGTTTTCTAAGAAATTTCTAAGAAATTACATTAATTTCCCCCCAATTAAATTAATTTTCTCCCAATAGCCAAATATTACAGTGATGTCAATCTAGTAATAGTTTTATACTTTAAAAGCTGAAGATACAACAGTCCTGTTTTTCATAATAGCCTGTTCTCTTTTTCACTGGCACTGCTGGGTGCTGAGATTGATATTCCGTGTCCAGAGGTCAAGGTCAGGGTCCAGGAACCACAGAATTCACAGTGCAGCTTTGCTCACTGTGTGGCATTTGGAAAGCCTCTGTATTTCAAATCTGGTTCCACTCATTTTTGTGGAATCTGTTCCTGGGAAAAGCATACATCTTCCTAAGTAATTTGGCTTGATTCATATTTTCAGAGAGCATCGTTCTAGAAAATTGTCTTAAGGCAAATGGAGTTTGACACCTTCTATTTTTTTTAATTTGGTAAACCTAGAAAGGAGTTATTATTTTCCACCACCATGCCATTTGCTCTTGCAAGTGCACAAGGAAGGGAAAAGAGCAAACAATACATTATTAGCCTAAAAGGAAGGAAAGAGGGTATGACAGTGGAGCCAGTCCTGTGATTAGGTGGAGTGAGGTTGCTGCTTCAAGGAGTCAAATTGTCAGACATTTAATTTATTATGGCTTGAACTGAAGAGTGAAAGGATTTTGGTTTTGCTACCTCCTTTGTCCCATTGAATGCCCTTGACATCCCTTGCCCCAAGCCATTGGTGATGGTCCAGGAATGGCATGGGAACAAGTAGGACTGCAGTTTATGACCACCAAAGTTGGAGAGATAATCCCACACAGTTTTGTGTGAACTCTGGCATGAGCTAATGCAAGGTGAGCAATTTTGTTCTCCTGCTGCACATTCCCCACCCACCACCCACCCCTTTTCTTGAGAGTCCAGAGGATCATCTGGTATAAGTTGCTTTGGAGAACCAGGGAGTTCTCTAGTTTTCTCCACCAAAATTTTTCTTGGCGCTCCAGACATGCCTCAGATCCAGCACAATCCATTAGTTAAAGCCACAGTCTGATCTTCAGCATTCAGTTTCTTCCAAATTGTCTAGTGAGCTATTGCCAGGTGCATACAGATCAAAGTGATATTTCTTGGGGGGGAGAACTATTCTGTGGCACAGAAGAGGGCTTAGCTGTAAGGTAATGGAAGTTCAGTTGCTCACTGATTTATTGCTTATTACTGGGCTATTCACATTAAGGGAAAAGAAAATGAAATCCATCCAGTGTAAATTATTTCAAAAACAGTCCCATGTTCCACATCTTCCTTTGGAGTGCATTGCACAGGCTGTTTGTTTCACAAGTCTTCAGTACTACAAGAGCTTGGCTTATAACACCAAGAACACTACGGTCTGGGTCTCAAAATCGGCTGACCCTCCCTGGCCCGAGGGAGGCCAAGCTAGCTATTACCAGGGCCGAAGCCTTTTCAGTGGCGGTCCCTACCTGGTGGAACGAGCTCCCGGAGGAGATCAGGGCCCTGCGGGACCTTTTGCAGTTCCGCAGGGCCTGCAAGATGGAGCTCTTCCGCCAGGAATTTAATTAGGGGCCGCTGCTACTGCAGGCCATTACTGCAGAGCTCTGATCTGTGGTTTTAACATCCAACTGATTATGAGCAGAAACATCGTGGAACATCTGGGCAGTGGAAATTTACTCTGCCATCTAGGTTAATTTTTAACTGCTGCCAGCACTTTGTATTTATATTGTTTTTATTTGTGTGGTTAAATATTTGTGTAATTTTAATGTATTTATGTTTTTATGGAAGCCGCCCTGAGCCCGCTTTATGGGGAGGGTGGGATATAAATTTGATAATAAAATAAATAAATAAATTTAGTGAAAAGTGACCCAAAAACTTGGATGTCTTAATCAACAGAAAAATATGGTGTCGTTTTTGTTCATCTCTCTATGATGTTTTATTCCCACCACGCTTCAGAAGGAATTTAAGAACATAAGAGACGCCAATGTTGGATCAGGCCAAAGGCCCATCCAGTCCAACACTCTGTCACACAGTGGCCAAAAATACCAGGTGCCATCAGGAGGTCCACCAGTGGGGACAGGACATTAAAAGCCCTCCCACTGTTGACCCCCCCCAAGCATCACTTGCCCCAGAGTCCCTATCTATACCTTGTGGCTAATAGCCACTGATGGACCTCTGCTCCATACGCTTATCTAATTCCCTTTTAAAGTCGTCCATGCTTGTAGCCGCCACCACTTCCTGTGGCAGTGAATTCCATGTGTTTATCACTCTTTGGGTGAAGAAGTACTTCCTTTTATCTGTTCTAACCCGACCGCTTAGCAATTTCATTGAGTGCCCACAAGTTCTTGTATTGTGAGAAGGGGAGAAAAGTACCTCTTTCTCTACCTGCTCTATCCCGTGCATAATCTTATAAACCTCAATCATGTCACCCCTCAGTCGTCGTTTCTCCAAGCTAAAGAGCCCTAAGCGCCTTAACCTTTCCTCATAGGGAAAGTGTTCCAACCCTTTTATCATTCGAGTTGCCCTTTTCTGCACTTTTTCCAAAGCTATAATATCCTTTTTAAGGTGTGGTGACCAGAACTGCACACAGTATTCCAAATGAGGTTGCACCATTGATTTATATAGTTTATAGTGGTACAGTAAGCTGAGAAATCCCCAGTTCTCAAGCTGGCCATAGACAATTTGTTTCAGCTTCAACCCTTGAAATTATAGGCAAAATAATACCAATCTATGTTATGGACTAGTTATAAGAGTCCTTTTCTGCATCTGAATACCTCTGTGTTTGTTAGCAAGTATACAGAAGGACTCTCACACAGATATTTACTTCCACATGCTTTTTCACTGGTGAAGCAAAAGTGCCATGTGAGTAGGATCTTGATTCTGTCTTGTAATCTCTACAAGCGTAATGGAAAATGCTCTCTCCAAGCTGTGGAGTCTTGTGAGCAAACATTCTACTTTGTGAGCTACTTGCTTTAAAGCTGTGAGCAAGCGATTTGGCCACTGCATACATTAGTTTGCTCTGGAGCCATCCTTCCTGAGCTAAGAAAAAATGTGTGAGCTGGAGGCTAAAAATAACTCAGTTTAGAGTGAACAGTGGGGGGAGGGGGGAAGTGGCCTTCTTAAGGTCACCCAGAGAGGTCATGACTGAATTAAATTTCAAGTGGGTACTTCCTGAATTGTAGCAATCACATACTGTTTGCATGGCTGATAAAATGAAATGTCTCTAACTTCCCTATCAAAGATAGGTATGAATGTGACACAGAAGGTGTGCATGTACACCTACAGAAACAAAATATTTCAAAGCTACAAGGTATAAAATCAATGAAACACCCCCCCCCCCCGATTTAGATTTTTTTAACTTGGCCCACAGTGTGGGAACTTGGCATGACATTAACAGTTATAAACTTTCTAAATGAAGAGATTATTCACGGATTTTCAAAATAAATAAACAAAATGTCACGCTTTTTGTTTTAAAATCTTTAAAATCCAAAGATGAAACACTTAAAACAGATGACATTTACAAGCCATTTGCTATTCATGTCTGTCTCCACCATGTGTGTAAAGTGTCGTCAAGTCATAGCCAACCTGTGGGCAACCCCATAAGTTTTTCATTAAGTAGTCTGCCATTGCCTACCTCTACAGAGTCTTCCTTGTGGTCTCCCATCCAAGTACCGACACTGCTTAGCTTTTGAGATCTGATGAGATCGGGCTCATTCCACATCCCTCCCCCTCTCCACTACTTCATTTCACTATTTTATTATCAAGGGACAGAATCTAAATATATTGTCCAACAATAAATTATTTAGAGTGTGAACAATTACCTAACACTGTTAATGTTGCATCTACACAAAAAAGTCTTCAGATCAGTTAAAAAGGTAAAGGTAAAGGTTCCCTTGCTCGAAAGCCAGTCGAGTCTAACTCTAGGGTTGCGGTGCTCATCAGTTAGCAAAGAATAAAAACACAGAATGCTTCTTAACTTTTTAAAATACCATCAGTTTGAAAGCATTTATACTAACATAGAGAGCTTCATTATCTCACTTCAGTTTCCTTCTCCAGTGACCGAAACCCTTATTTGTACAAGTACATTCTGTTACATAGTGCCTGCAGTAGACATCCAGCTATCTACAGTATTAGATGTTTGCCTAACTGCTTTTCAGAACTATAGTAGTTTACATTAGAATAATATTTCCCTATGTACTCAGCTAACATCCACAACATTTTACAATGTGATTTATTTAGAGTCTGTGCAGTCTCTCTACTGAATAAATTTTGCTCAGAACAAATTATCTAGTATTGTTTTGATGGGTCTTGTTTTTACTATAGAGGCAGAGCATTAAAATAAATGGATTTTTGACAGACATTGACTGCATCATTACATTGCAAAAATGAATCTTCACCATCAACTCTGTTCATGAAAAGCTACTTATTTAATCCTGTGAAAACATTCAGTGTGTATTCATGGAATACTGTCGATACAATGTATTAAACCTGTTTGGATTCTAGCATCACTATTCCAGATGTGTTTAGGAAGGAGAACAGGCATATACAGGACACTTTAGCCCTGCACATTCTACAGTTCTTACATATCTTACATATCTACAGTTCTTACATATCTACAGTTCTTACATATCTATTGTAAGAAAGAACTATCACACGTTCACTTTACAAATGGAACCAGGGGCTGTTACATGGATAAATGTGGAGTTTGAATCATGCATTGAGCTGTACATGCACTGAACATAACATGAGAACTACCCAATGGATGTATAAGTAAAATTCAAGTGTACAGTGTACATGCATTCATGGTAATTTGTGAACAGGGCTTTTGTCTGAATTTGTCCAGACTAGCCCCAAACCTCTCTTAACACTAGTCTTAAATCCAGTTTATTTCACTCACAGGTCCAAGGAGCTTTGAAAAGGCAATGGATGCAGTATAAAACCCAATGGGGTCAAAGACGCCGAGAACATTGCTCTACGCGATCTACCTCCTACACAGCAACATCTATCACAGAGGTCCCCATTTACCTGTATCCCCATGACTCCAACAGTGAACAGTTTAATGGAAAGTATATAGATGACTCTGAACTTGTTGCATTAAAATCTGGAGAGACATCAACCTAGCTTACAGAAAGGGGATACGGTTTTCTGTTTGTGCAGAAACCGGGAGGAGAAGACTTCAAGGCCATTGCAAGAGCAGGCTCTGTTAAATGACAAGATGCGTCATATGTAAACTACAGAAACTCTGCTTTCTGCTGGTGACAACTTCAAGAGAGTCTGAGAGGGAAGAAAGACAGGAATAGAGAGAGAGGTGTTCACTGGATGCAGTTGCCATGGAGGAAGGACCAAGGCTGAGCTACTCAGTGGGAAGAATGGAATTTCCCCAGTTCCAGAACGCAGCCAATATGCGGACTGAGGATGCTACAGTAATAAAAATGTCTATAAGATGTCGCATGAAAATCTGGGAACTATCACTGTTTCTGTAAATGGATTTTTTGTTGTCTCAACTAAGCTAAACACAAGAAAGAAGTGGTCAGCAGCTATTGCATAAGATATTTTTACAGTAGACTTCTGATCCATAAACATGAGTCACTTGTTAGTGTCTTGGGAAAACATTGCATTTGAATAGCTCCAGTGCTTTCTTAAGGGTTTTTGCACTTAGGGCAAAACAATTTTTAAAATATCATTCCATTTTATTTAAATCCTCACTATCTCAAGAGGATGTTTTACAGTATTAATATGATGTCAAGCACAGGACAGAACTGAAGGCAAACTATTTATTGTGTCAAAAGTGCTCAAGAATAGATGAAGCATATGAGAAATATGGTGTGCAGTTGGACAATCTAATGTGGGGACCCAAGAGACTTTGTTCAGAACGATAAATAAGAGTTGCTTGATAATAACCATTGATAGGGAAATGGTCAGCCATATTTTTCATTGCAGCAATCAGATATAGGGAACAACTTTTCGCTGTGAATAAACTGTGAAATGTACTTGGGAAATAGTTTTCTTTTTAAATCTTACCGTTGGTATTTCTCTAGTTCCAATCATGCAAGCTTTCTTTTACCAATAAAGTTGTCGTCCTTCTGTTTAAAGAGTCCAAAGTTCCATGGTGTAGTTAAACCTTTAGACCCAATTCATAAGCTACTGTATAAATTATGCAACTGGTATAAAAGCTACTTCAGTGTGACTGCTCTGGATACAAGAACTGCCTAGCTGGGGCAGATGCCAGGGTTCACACCATTCCAGTGTTACTCTTCTGGGCACAGAGAAGGTTTATCATGCCCATGTGGTCCCTTCAAACAAACCTTACGGGAATAGTGTACAGCAGAGAAATATGGCCCCTGTGCTGCTGCATGCAATGTATCATGCCTAAATCTAGTACCGCAACTGGAAGAAATCAAAGAAGTTGTACATCGACATTTTGTGCTATTGTTACATACTATCATTCCCTGCCAGCTATTATTTTATGGTTGCAAATGGTACATGGAACTTCCACAATAAAGATTTCCCCCTCAGAGCTGCAGATATATTTATTTATGCATAGAGATTGGCTCCTTCCATTGGAATTCAGGTGTACTCAAGAAATCTATGTGTACTCACTTTGTTAGAAACAGCGTATCTTTGTAAGATATAAAACGTGGTGCCAGTACATTTCTTGTCATGGGTTGATGTACAACAAAGTTAGATTTTCACTAATGCATTTACCCATGTGAAAAATGCACTTCAGTTTTCATACTTTATGAGACAAATACCTTAAGTTCCATCTTAGCTATGTTTTGTTTTTGGAAATATGTAGAAAAGTAGATAGTTCCATCCACTTGTCTGCATGTTTGGGCACCATATGATCTACTTAAATCTGGAAGTACCCAAGAGACATTTGTCCCCAAAAGCAGGGACAGGGCTGCATTGCTTCCAGGTATTTGATTTAGAGATCTATTATTGGGCATGTGTTAGAGCAGAATGTCCAATTTTGCCCAATTTGCAGGCTAATTTAAAGGTGGGTTCTCTTCACCAAATGGTGTTGTCAAAGATTATTTCAAGGGTCTGAGCATTTTGATCATGGTCCTTCCTGAAATTTCATGCTGAATAAATTGAGATATTAATTGAACTAATCAGGTTGTAAAACATGTAAGGGGGTCTTGGGCTTGCATATGAACCTACCCTGCAGAGAATGCATCAGATGATCCTGTAAATCTACCTGTCACGGCAGGGCCTGGGGGCGTGATGCAAGCAAGCAAAGTCCAAGAGCAGTCCGAAGTCAAGCCGAGTAAGACAAGCAGCAAAGTTCAAACAGGTTTAAATCAGAATCCAAAGCCAGGGTCAGCCATACCAGAGTTCAATGTCCATAAATCCAAACAATGCCAGAGGAGTCAGAGACGAGAGCAGGGTCAATGAAGCTGATGGTCAAAAGCCGAGGATCAAGACGACAAGAGTTCTGGAGCAGAGATACACGGAGTCAGGTCCTGACAAACGACATTTGCCAGCACAAAGGCCTGCCAGGAACAGGCTTGAAAATATACAGTGCTGGCTAATTAACTCATTAGCTGGCAGGGAGGGAGGTCATGGTTCAGTCAATACTCAGGGCTAAGAGATCATCTGGCACGCATGCGTGCATTCTGTCGTCGTTCTCTCAGCTGCTGTCTCCGTAGATTCCGGAGCCTGATTACAGGTGGCAGTGAGTCTGATGATGAATCACTGTGATGCAGCAGAGACTGATCCTGTGCAGCTGTTTCCTGGGAGGCTCTATCCTCCTCGCCACTTAGGGAGCTTTCTGCTACAGGAGCCAGTCTTTGCCTATAAGTCTCTGCTGCAGTACTGTCCTCAGGAGCCTGTAATTCCACATGCTCCTGGCTGGCAGGTGCCTCCTCAGGGTCATCAGCAGAGGCAGGCATGACACTACCCAATCTTATTCTCCACAAGCTTTGAGAATACTGTAAATTTAAATTTGTACCATGCCCTAAACTACTGCAAGAGGGCATTTGTTAAATGATGCCTTTTCCTCATTTCATGAAAAAGGGAGAATGGAGCTCCCGGCCTCCCGGCAAAGCCACTGTAGGTCCAGGGGCTGTTTTGCTGCCCTGGAAGAAGCCGGGGCTGCAACAGCACCCATGAGACGCTGCAGTGATGGACATTGCTGACTATAACAACTTTGAAATTAAGACAATTTGGGAGGAGAGTTAAATTGGCCCCGGCCTCTCATTGGTTAGGCATCGAGCCTTTTTGGCCGTTCCTTGCTTTCTGATTGTTGTGCGAAAGTATTGTAAAAAAAGAAAAGAAAAAAGATAGTGGGATAAAGATGCCCCTCCCAGTGGTGCTTCTATGTTAGATTTATAGAACAGGGAGACCTCAGTATTTTTACAAGTGCCACCCTTAAAGTGCCATTCGTGCTGAAATTTACAATGTTAGTCACAACTAGAGAAATAAGTTAGGGCTACAACCTGCCTGCAGTGAGCTAGATGGAAAGCAGGACAGCTGTGGAGGCATCTGGCAGTGAAATTAAAGAGGCTAACAGTGACTGAATATATTGCTTACAAGCTCCAGGGCAACAGGAAGGACATGAGTGGATGGAACTTGGATGGAACTTTCAAAGAGAGCAATGTGCCTTGAACCTCTGTCCCTGGAACAGCTGAAGGTATTGGGGTTTACCGTTTGGAAGCCTTCACTCTGGGGTTGAGGATTCCTTTCCAAGAAAAAAGGTCACATAGTGCTCCTAACCTGAAATCAGTTCGGGGGATGGAGCACATAATTGGGAAAATTGACAAGGAGTGTAAGGAAAGTAGGGTACTTTGCCTGTTCCACGCCTCACTGGTTAACAATTTGACGTTTTTCCCCTGTTTGGCGAGGGTTGCCTCATTCACTACCTGTCATGCCCATACCAAGGAGTTATGTTCTGTTAGTTACACTTCGTTGATCAGGCCATGCTAGTGGTGCGCTGTTGTGGGCAGGGGGCAGAATTGGCAAGATGGGACGTTAAGTTGGCCTTCCGTCTCCTCCCTGTCCACCCAGCTGATTTGAGCTGTTGGGCTTTGCTTTCAAGGGCAAATTTACATGGACCCTTCCCATGGGGTGCTCAGTATCCTGTGCTGATTTCGGGAGGTTCGGTTCCTTTTTGGAATGGGCCTTGCGTTACAGGACAGCTCTATGCAGCACTGCCCACTATCTTGGTAACTTTCTGTTGGCAGGAAGGAAAGGTAGGGGCCATGCAAATTTTACTGAGCTAGGAGTTCCACTTGCTTAAGAAAAAGCTGAAGGCCCTACTCTAATGCTAACTTTTAGTGGGGATAGTGATAGACACAGTATGGCAGCTATGTAAATTACCAGCTGACATATTGACTGCACTGTGGATGTTATTGACATGGCCATGGAGAAGGAGAAAATTACCCTGCTGGAGTCATTGCAGCTGGTTGGCCACCTCAACTTTGCATACAAAGTTGTGGAAAACGGCTGAGCATTTGTTAGGAAACAGTATGGGCTCATGATGGGCTTGCACCTACCGTGCCATAGGACTAGGGTCACCAGGGGTATAAGAGATGACCCCTTTGTATGGAAAGAAATTTTGGATTCAAGAAGGGCAGCTTCTGTACAGGGAAGACACTTGAAGGCTGGTCAGGAGAGTTTTTCTGAAATGGAATTATGCCCATGCAGGCCTTACACCAGTATTTAGCTATGCAGGCTGCGGGCAAAGGCTACAAGATGCTATGAGAGATACATGCAGGATTGCAAAGTTTAATGTATATATTTAAGTTATTAAGTTCTTTTTCAGGTGCTACACCCTGATGTTGAAAGCAATGGCAGACCTTGCAATGATAAGAGCAAGGTGGCCTGGAGTGCAGATAGTCTGGTTGGCTATTCTGCTTTGCCACGAACGGCAAGGCCCTGGTATTGCAGGCGAAGGCCAACCTTGCGATGATAAGAGCAAGAGAGCCTGGAGTGCTGATAGTTGGGTCAGCTATTCTGCCCCGCCAGATGAGAAAGGCCATGGGGGGTGGTCTAGGGCAATTTTTGCTGCACCCTAGCATATGGGTTGAGCTCCAGGACCTGTATAGGCCTGATGGGGTGCACTATCTGACAAGGGCAACGGGTTCTTTTTGTAGGACTTGCGGCAAGGGATTAGCTCAGCCTTGGCCTTTTAGTGGGAGCAAAGACCAAAGCAGACGCTTGGTCTTGGCTGTGGCAGGTTGGTGCGGGCAAGAAACCGGAACCGGTGAGCACTTATGGCATTTTCCCCATTAGGGAACAGGGGGTCATCAGGAACTGCCTTCGGATTTTCGGGTCCAGGGTGGGGAATCGTGCTCACCTCCTCTGGGAACCTCCTAGGGTATGCTCCTCTCTGCAAGTTGTCAGGCTTCAGGGGTAGGCGCTCCTAGGTGGCGACCAGTTTGCTGGGCTGCCA